GGGACAGGGCTTCTGAAGAGGGGAATGACTCCCCAAGGGTGCAGAGAAGTCACAGGGTCTGTGATCCCACCAGACTCTGTTCTAGAAGAGCAAAGTCCCTTCAAAGTCTCCCTCTCTCCCTGAGGAACGGTTCTGGTACCTGCTGCCTCCTGGGTGATATTGGCCTTCCTGATAAAACCCACTCCCTGAGGTCTGAGAGGCCCATGAAGATCACCTAGGAGGTAGAAGGATTCCGCTGGACCAGGAGTCTGAAACCTCCGAGTTGTAAGGGCTCTGAATTCATAGAAAGGGAAACTGAGGCCCGAAACGAGGAGAGACTCATCCAGCACCTCGTGAAGCATGGTGGGCAACACAGGCAGGAAACCCTGCATCAGAAACTCAGGAGGGGGCAGAGGCAGGAAAGGCAGGCAAAGGTCTATCCCTGTTCTCCTGCCTCGCTGAGTGACCTGGGGCAAGCCACACAACCTCTCTGGATCCGTTTCCCCAGTGTGGCAGCCGTGTGCTCACAGGCTGCGCAGGTCCAGTAGGGCTCTGGCCCCCACCCCTCCAGAGCCCCCCCACCGTGGAGCCGCCAGGCCTTCCTGTTTACTCGAGGCCCCTCTCGCGGCTGGGAGGCGACAGCCTTGGCCTCCTCTGCTCCCTACTTCCTTCCTCTCCCACTTCAGCGCCTCCGGTCAGGCCCTCAGGGCCCCCGAGGCCAAGACTTAGGGGTGCAGTCCAGTGGGGGCATCTGAGGCCAATACTCCAAACGACCTACCTGAGAGCACTTCTTCTCTGAGACCCTGAGGTTACAGAGGCACTGTAGCACCCCTCTGGCTGCTTAGACTGTGCCAGCACCTTGGGACAAGTCATTTCCTGGAGTGTCCCTAGAGATCTGAAGAGTATGACAGCATCTACTGTCCTGGATCTGAGGCCATGTCTACCTCTCAGCCCACCAGTAGGGGATGAGCACACACTGACCTTGAGGTGCCCCCACCCTCGCAGGGCTCCGGCCTCCACAGAGTAGGTTCCCCCTGAGCTACCCAAAGGGTGGGCCGAGGACCAGCAGCTGGAGCCTCACCGCCCAAACCAGGTCAGCTGAATCAGAGTCAGTTTTTTAACAAGACCCTGAGGAGCTGCGTGTGCACCTTAAAGCTGGAAACACAGCAGATCTGACCATCCTGCCCTGTTTTAAAACCCTTCATGAGTCTCACCTATTAGGTATTCTTGTCCCAGAGGCTCGGTCTGAATCTCTGAAACCTTGACAACTAGCTTGCAATTTACAAGAAATTCAGGGAATGGAGGAACACATTGAATGACACCACAAAGAAGCAACCAACAAATGTGGAAGGAGGAATTTTCTGCAGGACAACCAGTCTTTTCACAGGTCAATGTCATGAAAAGAGGGGGAGAGCCTTTTGAGGTCAAATAAGTTTGATGAACATCACAACCAAATGCAACGTGGTCCTGGATTGTCTCCAGTTTAAAATAAAAAAGACTCATGGGGCTGGCTGAGTGGCTCAGTTGGTTAAGAGCTCACTCAAGAGTTTGAGCTCTGAGCAACAGCGGTTTGAGTCCCAGCCTGAGCTGAGTTGCTGTTGAGCTGCCAACAGGTGGCAGAGTGGTTCAGCTAAAAAAAAAAAAGACTCATTTTGGGGAAAATTTGCATATGGACTGATTATTATCTATTATGATATTAGTGTTTACTTAGTGTCATCAAAACTCAGTTGTGGTTATATAGAAAAATGTCCTTATTTGAGTCATACTAAAGTCACACTTTAGGGGTGACATTTTTTCATACCTGTAATTTACTTTAAAATAATTTGGCAACAGTAAAACAACAATGAAGGGGGGCCGGCCAAGTGGCGCGATGGTTAAGAACTGGCTTG